CAACAAGAAGTCGAAAATATCACTTTTTACCAAAAATGACAAAAATATTCACCAAAATTAGAGAACAACAATCAAACTAAATAAAATATTTTTGCTCAGATATTGGGGTTATGACACCATGCATTGTAACCATGCTGATTTATCCCCTGATGACAGCTTTTACTCAGGGGCCCGATGATATCATATTTGAAAAAGCCATAATACCCAGTATTTAAACAGATGAACAGTTGTCATGTGATACATGTATATTATATCTGATAGCTAATATTACCTAAAAATGTAATACATATCAAATTTCCCATAATCCCATTTTTCGCTGAAAGAACTTCTATTTATAGCTTTCTTTGAAAGCTTATTTCATGTGTTTTTTTCATAAATATTTTATTATCAGATTCATTTAATATCTTCTAGCTCTCAAATAAAATACAACGTAATAAACAATCTTCAATCATCTGTTGCTGTGTGAATTTGGTACAATATTTTTTTCTGATATTTTTTCTGACGGTAACACAGTATTAATCCCTTTTATAACACAGGTCTGAGAACATTTCACTGGTATCCTCAAGACAAAGAGTTTCACAGTGACTTTTCCCAAAAATCTCATGAAAATTGCACGTGAATGTGCGTAATATAATAGGAAAAACACATCCCTGTCTAAAGCCCTTTCATTTAAAAAATAATGAATCCCTGTAGCTTCATATTGGACGAGGAGAAAGTCTATGCCAACTTTAAGATAATGTGTGAGGTAAAGCCAAACACATTAATGCATCTGGACCCTTATTCGAATCCTATATGTTGTTGTGTGTGTTTGTGTTGGGCATTATTTTTCAACTGAAAGAATTAAACAAATTTAGTTAAATGATTCTGATAGTGATGATTTATAAGAAGCAAGGATGAGAAGTGTGGAGTACTTTATTTCAATTATAACACTCCAAAGTGTTGAAAAATTGAAAATAAGTACATACAGCGATATGGTAGAGAAGGAAGAAATCAACAGTGTGTCATAAATACTTGTATTTCAAAAATGCATAAAACGTTCACCAGAAAACATGCAAAAACAGGGCAGCACATTGCACTGATCGACCAATGAGAACACAGAGTTTCAATAATGGGTAGCGCGTGGTATAATGGTACATAAACCCGTAAGCAGACAATGTGTTAATGGTTTATTGATTGATCCAGTTACAATCACAGTGATCTTGTTTACTTACTTGTTTTTCATCTCCAGATCATGCTCCGACAAGTTGACTTCAAACGTTGCCAAAGTATAGGATGACAACATTCGTTTACCTTTAACTTTAATCAGTACCTTACCATAGATATAAAGAATTGAAGATAATAATTAACACGTGCACTACCAATAGAGGCAATACGGTAATAGTAATTACCGTAAAATCTGTATTAGAAGCAGCATCCCTAATATAAGTCGCACCTATTCTTTTTAACATTTGAGAACCAAACATTCATTATTTAGAACCAAAAATTCATTATTTCTCATATGTGTAAATGTTCTAATAGAAGCTGCATCCGCTCTATATTGTATTGTACCATTTTAATAGAAGCCATGGCTTCTATACAGATTTTACAGTACTAGATATGCACACCTACACTGAACCTTTGTATACAGGTTGTACTCGAATCAGAAACAAGTATAGCATGTACAAATTACAGTTTTTCCATTTACCAATAAACTGTATTCTAACTAGTGATGGACGCATGGACAAAAAACAAGGAGTATTTTGAAAAAGCTTGTGAATATTATGAGGTTATCAGCTGATACCACTTGTTCATAGAACTGGTTGATAGAAGTGAAGTCATGGTCTAGTATCATCCACAAATTGAAGGTGAGTGGATAATACAACCACAGTCCCATTGTGATACAACCGATGACACCATAAGTATCAGCCAGCTCTATGATAACCTTTTCATTACATGACCAACTCAGAGCGTTGAAATGGCAGACAAATCAGTAATTTATGAAACTTCACATACGAATCATATGCTAATTTTGGCCAATTAGGCATGGCGTTGAAGTGTTCTGTGGAGGCACATTTATAGTTAAGGCTTCTGTTTTGTAATCGAGAGAAATATTACCTGTATTGTCATTGCATAATGCGAGTACGGTAATCCAGTCTGAACCAAGAAATTTTATTTATTATATAACGCCGACTTTTAGAAAAATTAATCGAGCTATAGAATTTCCACAATATACCTGGAGTGCAGATTTAAATTAACCCCCCCCCCCCCCCCACAAAATGTAAAGGATTATCAGGATCACTGCAACTTGGTGCTATAAACTTTCCAAGTCACAGAGGAAGGATACACTGTGTTATATGAAAGATGCCCTGAGGGACTGTATATACAAGCTGCTGTAATATATGCAGCCCATAACCTAAAATCAAAGAAAGTTTAAAAAAGAAATTAATTTAAAATTTAAGATTAGCCTTTCAAACAAGAAGCTTGGCAACTAATATTTGAGATGCACAATGTGAAATTAAGTGTTATATTCCTTTTTTACCAAAAATGACAAAAATATTCATCAAAATTAGAGAATTAAAGATATTATCTCGAAATGAACAAATCTGAGAGGTCCACATGTAGTACCTACATATGTAATAGCAAAGCAATTGAACTTGCAGTTTTTAACAAGAAGTCGAAAATATCACTTTTTACCAAAAATATTCATGAAAATTAGAGAATTAAAGATAACATCACAAAATGAACAAGTCTGAGAGAGATCCACATGTAGTACCTAGATATGTAATATCAAAGCAATTGGACTTGCGATTTTTAACAAGAAGTTGAAAATATCACTTTTTACCAAAAATGACAAAAATATTCATCAAAATTAGAGAAATGAAGATATCATCCGGAAATGAACAAATCTACATACCAAGGTACCTACATACCAAGTATCAAAGCATTTGGGCTAGCGGTTTTCAAGAAGAAGTCGAAAATAAAAATTTTGACCAAAAATTACAAAAATATTCGCTATAAATAAGACAATTGAACATATCCACACGAAATGAACAAATCCTAGAAAGTTTCACAGCTATACAGTTTGTGGTTTTTAAGAAGAAGTCGAAAATGTAAAATTGACGACAGCGACGGACGCCAACAGACAATCAGTAATACTATAAGCTCCGCTCGACTTCGTTGACAGCGGAGCTAAAAAAGCTGAAAACTGACTAATTATTATGCAAATCAAGTATTTAATATGCACATATTTTAATGTAAATTAATAAGTTTATGCATTGTCCTTGAGGATTTATGTACTAAGTTTCACTGAAATTTTATTAAAACCTATAAATTATGAATTATTTTGCAAATTAAGTAATTACATGTAATATGAACAGATTTGAACAAAAAACTGCAGGTCTGTGCAATGTCCTAGAGCATTTATGTTTCATTGAAATAGAAACATTAGGACTTGAGATATCAGTGTAAGCCAAAAATTAGCTGATTATGCAAATTAGGTAACAAATATGCATAGATTTTAACCCAAAACTAATTAGGTATGTGTATTGTCCTAGAGCATCTATGTAAAAAAGTTTCATTGAAATGGGATAATTAGTAATTGAAATATCAGTGTAAAAGCCAGAAATTGGCTAAATATGCAAATTTGGTAATT